CCCAGTTCCCTAACTAGAAAATAATGGAAATAATAGTCTCTCTCTCTTCCTGAGGTATTGTGGGGTTAAGATTACTTAGTAAAAAACAATGCCCAACATATAGTAAACTGTAGATAAGCATTACTCAATCTCCAAGAGCTATTCACTGACAGTTTTTGCTTTCAAGTATTCTCCACTAGAAATTTAATGTTTTTCAAATACTGTCCAGGAGAAACTGAATTCATCAAAGGCCATTTTAGTTAGTTGAATAATGTCTTTCTTTGAGTGGTGGTGCTTGAGAAGAGTCTTGAATATACCATGGATTGCCAAGAAACCATACAGGTCTGTCTCACATACTTTGGGGGCGTGGCCAAGAGAGACCAGTCTTTAGAGAAGGGCATCATGCTCGTAAGGGTGGAGGGGCAGCGCTGGAGAGGAAGACCCCGGATGAGATGGATTGATACAGTAACTGGGGTTATGGGGATAGGTGTGTTAGAGTCAGTGAGACTGGCTCAGGACAGGGCAAGCTTCTGCACTTTTGGATGTAGGGCTGCTATGAGTCACACGTGACTCAATGGAACATAACAACAACAATGAAACATTGAAAATAAAGATGATGAAATCTGTATAAAATGAAACAAGATATTTTCAAGCACAGCATTACATCAATTTCCAGTTGTTGCTGAATTGATTCGGACTCTTGGTCACTCCAAGGTATTAAAGAGTAGAACAGCCCCACTGGGTTTTCAACAGCTAATTGGAACCACCAACCTCATGGTTAGCAGTTGAGTGCTTGTACTATCCAAGGACTTCACAAAATTTTATTAGAAAATTAAAAAAAAATAAAATCAAATCAGCCCACTGCTGTCAAGTCAATTGTGACTCAGAGTAAACCTCCACCTGGTTTCCACGACTGTAAACCTTAATGGAAGCAGACTGTCTTATCTTTCTTTTGTGGAGCAGTTATCAGGTATGAACCTCTGAAGTTTCAATTTTAAAAACTCCCTCATTGATGCTGATTTGGAATCAACTCATTGCTGACCCTCTAGTAGGTTTTCAGAGGGTGTAAATCACATCGGAAGAGACTGCCATCTTTCTCTCGTGAAGTAGCTGGTAGATTCAAACCATGTGCCTTTGGGTTGGCAGTGCAACTCCCCTACCCACTAACCCCATACATTACATCACCATCAAAGCCAAACCCCCCCTATAGAGTCAATTCAATCCACTTCAACCCTCCATCAGGTTTCTAAGGCTGAAGCAGGAGTGCCATCCACTTCCTAAACAACATGAACTTTGATAAATGTCAATAGTTGTAGAGGGGCTTCAGGCCTTTTGTTCATACTGTCACTATGAGTTGTGCTTGACTCAAAGGAACTCAACAACAACAACAACAAATCTTTATAGAAGTGAACATCATCTTCTTTCTCCAGAGAAGCAGTCCAAAACATCACACGATATATGTCACCAGAGCTCCACTACACTACCAGGGCTCCTTAATTACATGGTAATTCCTAAAGCCCATCTAGCAGAAAGAAATATATACTACTGGGTTGACTGCTCACTATATGAACTTCAACTCAGAGCATCATATAAACTTGTAGTAATTTGAGTAGAAATTATTTCTTCTTTAGAAAGTTCATCAAGTTTTCCATCAGGGACACCAAAGAAGAACATAGCCTCTCTGTGCTTCAGGCCTGTCAGCAGAGTGTCAGGGCTCTGTTCTGTGGAGGAGGACCCATGAAGTCGGAGGACCATACAGAAGCAGTCAGCAAAACCCTAGGGCCTCTTCTGTCCTCTCCTCTGTGATAAATGAGTGTTAAAGACTATACAGGACCTCATGACTAATAAAATTTAAAACAATCCCTCCAAATCAACAAGGTAAAGAGAGCACTGGGCTACTACTACAGCGAGGCAGAAATAATGCAAGTTATAACATATCCAGCTATGAATTTTGGGATACAGGGAAAAAAAGGAGTTGTTTTTTCCTAAATCAAATTAAAAGCTGAGGAATAACACTTTATTTTCTATAGTAAAATAACTTTCTCATTGTATTCCCCTTTCATACCCCAATTACTTTCTGCTTTGAATTTTTTATTGATATCATATGCTTTAATCAATGAAATGCATGCTTGTTCAAGGAATGATTCTGAAATTCTGAAATGAAATAAATTTTTATACATATTATAGAAAGATATATGTCTTCGACTCTGGAAGTAGGCTGTGTGAGACATAAGACATCTTTTTCACCTTTGAGGTACAATTATGTGGAACATGCAAATCTTTCTTGTCTTAGGGTTGGTGGGACACATAGGTCCTTTTGTGTCCTGCACCAAGTTCTACATATTTTTACAAGTGGTACAATTTGGGCACCCAAAAATGTGATACTGTAGGGAATGTGGTGAACACAGAACCCAGAAATCAACTTAAAAGATTTATATCCCAGTAAAAAGAAACAAAATTTTCCAAAAATCATACCTATAAAAAGAATGAATTTGCCTCATACATCCATTTCTTCTGTTTCCACCATTCATAGGTCCTCCGTGGTGACCACATGTATTGGGCTGCCCAGTAAGGCACAGAGGAGGACAACGTGTGTGTGTTCCATTTGTCCATAGATTATGGAAGAGTTAAAAATCATGGTTCTGGAAAGAGAGGTCTGGTTCTCCCCTGAACCCCTCCCCACAAGTGGTTTAAAAGTTACATATGAGCTACATGAATAAAAAGTAACTCCAGGGATTTTTGTTCTTTGACTTACTGGCTTTAAATGAAACATGTTTCCATTCATCTATTTTGTAATTAATAACCAACAACATAAAGCCCTTTAGTCTAAAGATTTCAAATATTAAGTTTAATACCATGCTTAACTTAAAAAGGCACTGAGAATGGCCATCACATGGCAGTGAAAGAGGAACACATATGTGTAAAGGAGCTACTGACAAACAGTAAAACATATGCAGCTCCAAGGAAATTCAATGGGAAAACATGTACACAAAAAAAGAGACTGCATAGAAATATAGGCTTTGAAAAGAAAGGTTGATATAAAAGGTGAATAACGAATTTCCTTTATCAAGATATTTTCCCATAGTTAGGGCATTTGAAAATCCAAGTGCCTTCAAGTCGATTCCCATGCATGATGACCCCGCATGTTTCTGAGCAGAACTGCACCTCAGTGGGTTTCCATGATGGGTCACCCAGACTTCCAACTAGACAACAACAGATGGGTCCAAACTGTCAACCTTTCTATTAGTAACTACTCAATCCAATAATGCAATTCCTTAAATAAACATAAACATCTTGATTTTGCAGCTGTGAAAAACAACGTCATAACTTAAAGTTATATCATTTGCTCAAGGTTAAACAACTAATAAATTAAAAATGCATAAATTATAAAAAATTGTTGTTGGTGCTTTGTGCCACTGAGTCAGAACCATTCATAGCTGACCCTCCAGTGAGCTTTCAGAGCTTGTAAATCTCACAGGAAATTGCTCATCTTTCTCCTGCACAGCAGCTGGGGGATTCCAACCACGCACCTTTGTGTGGGTAGCTGAATTCTTGATCCACGAGGCCACCAGAGTCCCCAACAGATGGGCAGAGGAATCAATATAAATATGTCTACATTACAAAAAGGTTGAATAAGTACAGAAGCATCCTTTTATAAGATTATCTTCTTTGGTGAGGGGACTTTTGGGTGATAAGTATAGATGATATACAGCTGTGTTTGGGAAACTGATGAACAAAAAGGCTATCGATTTTTTTAGTTCTTTATGAAGCAGAAAACATAATGAATTACAGAAGTAGTTTAAATGTCTTACACCAAAGAACCTTCTGAGAGTGCTCACATGATTCAAGAATAGACTATTTGTAACAGTGGCAAAGTTTAACAGGGCAGAAAATAATAGATGTTGGAGAGGAGGTGGCAAGAAGGGAACTCTTACACATTGTTGGTGGGAATGTGAAATGGTGCAACCATTATGGAAGGCAGTTTGGTGCATCCTCAAAAAGCTGAACATAGAAATTCCATATGACCCAGCTATTCCACTACTTGGAATATATCCTGAGAAAATGAGAACTGAGGCATAAACTGAGATTTGTACACCAATGTTCACAGCAGCATTATTCACCATCGTAAGAACATAGAAACAGCCCAAATGTCCAACAACAAATAAATGGATTGAGAAATTATGGTACATTCACACAATGGAATACTATGCAGCACGCAGGAGCAATAAGTTTGTAAATTATTACCTAACATAGGAGGGCCTGGAGAGCATTATGTTGAGTGAACTAACTCAGTCCCACAAGGATAAATATTGTATAAAACCATTATTGTAGAATGAGTATAAGTGTCCAGGAGGGGTGAAAGAAGGTGAAAGCAGAGGGATGAGGATGTGCAGGGGGAGGGGGAGATTAATCATAGGGTTGTACAATTTGATGGGGGGGTAAGGGAATTTGAAAGAATCTGTTCTTGAAAAAATGTATTAGAATTTTGTAAATAAACCAGTAGAAAAAATTTTTTTAAAAAGTGATATAGTAGGGGGGAAAAAAAAAAGAATAGACTACCTGGATTATTAAAGAGATTGTTTCTTTTCCCGTGCTATAAAACATCATCATTTACCTTTAGCAAAAGTCAAATAAAGATAATTCATTATAGAAACTCACAAATAGCATGATGTTATAACTGATTCAGCAACACATTTTGGCTGCTAGCTCATCAGATCCAAATAAAGCTGTAAGGCAGAAACAGTATGAAATTATGCATTGACTGGGAGCTCCAGCAGTGGCAGAAATGAAAGAAAAAGGACTTCAAATCATGAAGAGTGATTTCCACCATGTATTCCCACATAGGCGCTTGTTATCAAGGTTGTAATTTGGATTTTGCATCATGCTCCTGAGCAACATCTCAGACGTAAAAACACTTCTTCCCCTGGAGAGACTTTCTAACCACATATGCAAAGGCAATGTGTCAACTGAGATTCATGGTGGGTTCAGAAACACAGGATGTGAGAATGAGAATCTCTCACCTTGCTGCTGTGGTCAGTCTCATCCGAGGATTCCAGGTCTGGCCCGTCGGTCTCCTCAGGCGCAGTCTCTGCACTACTCCCCTGATCGCTGCAAAGACTGTGACCTGCACAGTGGAACACGAAAGAATATGGGTCAATATGGAGAACAATCGCTGAACGCCACACCTGTGCGGGGAGGGGTGCAGGGCCTGAGCTCAAGGCATGCAGGTACATTGTTAAGATTCTCCAAGCACTAGTTTCATGATCTCAGCCCAGAAAACGTTAGGTGTCACTTTTACCACTATTATTGTTTTAACCTAAATATTGTGCTTAAAATAAACCGTCCTCACAAACAGAGCAACAAAATCAATAAAAGTTACCTCCTGTATTCATTACCTGCAAAGCCTGTACTTTTGCTTTCTTTTTTCTTTTTTTGCCAATCTGGCAAACTGTAAACACCTATTCTTCTCACTCAATTCTATGTACAGGCAACTTCCTTCTTTCCCTAATAACTGACTCAGAATAGGGCAGGATTCAGAGCTATTGCACATAGATTCAATATAAGTCACAGGGACTGGAAAGTACATAACAACATAGGGGGCTCTAGTGGCCTAGTGGTAAGAAGTTGTGCTGCAATCTCATAGGCACACAGTTCAAATCCACCAGCTGTTCCATGGGAGAAGGACAGACAATCTCCTCCTGTGCAGTTAACTGCCTCTGAAAATTCACTGAACAGTTAGCTATGGGTCAGTTCTGACTTGATGCTGCATAACAAAATAGTGGTATTAAGAAGCTCTAGTGGCCTAGTGAAAAGAAGCTGCAATCCTGAAAGCACATGGTTCAAATGCACCAGCTATTCCACAGGAAAAAGATGGACAATCTCCTCCCATGAGATTAACTGCCTCTGGAAACACACTAGAGCTGTGGATTGGATCCAACTCAATTGTACAACCTAACATAACAACAAAGTGGTATTAGGTAAATTTGCTGTCAGGGACCTCACCAGATTACTGAGGAGCAACAAAGTCAGTCTAGAGACTAAGGTGCACCTGATCCAGGCCATGATCTTTGCAATTACTTGTTATGCATCAGAAAGTTGGACAATGACTAAAGATGAGAAGAACCAATGTCTCTGAGTTGTGGTGCTAGAGAAGAGTATTAAATATTCCATGGATTGCCAAGAGAACAAATAGGTCTATCCTAGAGAAGTTGAAACCAAGCTGCCCGTTGAAGGCAAGGATGTTTTAAGCTCTGCCTCATACATTTTGCCAGGCGGGACCAGTCCTTGAAGAAGGATATCAAGTTTGGAAGGGCAGAAGGGCAACTCAGGAGAGGAAGACTCCAGATGAGATGGATTGACAGTAACTGAGGTATCGGGGGTAGGTGTATCAGAGGCAGTGAGACTGGCTCAGGATAAGGCAAGCTTAGAATCTGTTGTACATAGGGTCGCTGTGAGTTGCAGGCAACTTGACAGCACATAACAACAGCAAAACCCTCAAGATCTTGATCATGTGCTGGCTGCACTGTTAAAATCATTGTGTCAAACAATGTCGTTGAGGGTCAAGTGTACTGAATATTCCCATGGACTGCCAAAAGATCAAGCAGGTATGTCTTGGGAAAAAGTACAGTCAGAGACTCCTTGCAAGCAAGGATGGCAAAGCTTCATTCTACATATTCTGGGCATGTTGCTAGAAAAGGCTACTCCTTTCAAAGGGCCACCATGTTTGGAAGAGGGAACAAGTCAGCAAAAGAGAGGGAGCCTTGGTGCTGCTGTTTGGAAATATGTGGATGCATTTTTTTGTTGTCATGGTAATATCTGCTGTTCAGGAGTTAAGAAAACTCATGCCAAGCCACCTGCCAAGTATATCTGCCAGATGCAGAATTCTGTCCAATAAGTATTGTCCTCTTCATAAAAATAGTAGCTTTGGGAAACAATGTTCTAAGGTTTGGAGGTTGACAGATACACTCAGCACTGTCATGACATGAGCTCTGACTCATACCCAGCTTCCTTTATTGTCGTCATCTTCCTCTCTTTCTTTGACTCTCTACTTTTCCCAAGGACTGGAACCTCTGATAACAGGCCCAAAGTATGTGAGATGATCTTTCACCACCCTTGCCATTAAGGAGAAACTTAGTTGCACATTCTTCAAGATAGATTTTGTTTGCTCTTTTGGTAGTCCAAGGAATTAAAATTAAATACTTAATGGAAAATAATAAAGGTTGAATAAATAGAAAATAGTAACTTAGTTGAGCAAAAAAATTATCAAATTCTCAATATAGAATTATATTTCTAACTTCAATAGTATTTAAGATGGAGATCCAAATAAAAATATCTGAAAAACAAAGTCATAAAATTTACCACACAAAAATTTTAATGCAAAAAAAGGGGTGAGGGGGAATTCCTTACACTTAGGGGGGGGAAAATATAATCCTAGAAGTTAGTACCAATTAATGATTTATAAGAATAATTGATAAATAAATAAGCTGATTTTATACATGGGTAAATCTTAGCATATAAAACAATTTCTTCCCTAAAAGAAGTTATTATGGAGTTAAAAAATATAAGATGCAATTAAAATAGTGGAAATGACAAACATAGGGTGATTGTACTTAAAATATTTTATAGTTCCTTTATGTTTCAGGAGGAAAATAGACTACTTTCGGGACTTGTACCATTCAGAATTATGTTAACATTTTCAGGAAAGAGAAGAATTTAAAAATTCAATCCAGAAGAAAACAGGAAAGAGGGAAGGCAGGGAGGGGAGGTAAGACACTGAAAACAGTAAAAAATGCAAAGCTCTCAGTAAATTCAAGATGGACTAGATACTGTATTTTAACGCAAATAAGGTCTGAGCCATACGATTTTCTTGCAAACTGCACTAGTTTCCTACATGCGCTACGTGTGTTGTATGAGTGCACATGTTAGATGTGAAAATACAAGATTGAAACAGATCTAAACATAAACTAGTAAAGATTAAAAGTATAAACTAATGGAAACATAAAGAAGGTCATGTTAATCTTACAAATGCCACCAAAAACAAATCTGAAAGTTAAAGCATTTAGTAAATGTCATGAAAAGGGTCATTGTGCAATAATAAAATGTTCCATTTGCTAGAACAAAATGCTAGCTATATGTCTTAATAATAAAGTCTGTAAATACATAAAGGAAACTTGGGCAGAATTTGAAGGCAAAGATGATAAACTCACAATACAGTGAGGATTTAGACTATTCTCTCATAGAAGATGAAACAATTTAGATTAATGGGGACATAGAATATGTGAACATGAATGATCATTAAGCATGATTTATACATGTATTTCAGACACTCCTCCCAAGAAGCTATGATTGTAGGTTCCGCCCTGGCCATTATGAATTGGAGCAAATATCAGAGCATATATTCAGAGAGGCGACACAGGTAAAATTACATGGAATTTATTTTTATTTTTTAATGAAAGAGCCAAAAGCTCTTTCTACACTAATAGTAGTATTAGAGAAGAAAAACAAGATAGGGGTACGCCATTTATCAGACACCAAAAGTAATTATAAAGTTACAGGAATATTAAGCAGTGCAGAAGTGATTGGCAGACAGGCTAAAGTGTGACACAGAGCAGGTGAGAAGACAAGAATGGACAAGATGATGACTATTGTTAAGACGGTAGGTTACCCATCCAGAAACATAAAACTGGGGTCCAACTCATGCGATTTCAAAAATCAACCTCAGATAAGTAGAAAATATAATAAAACTAGCCAAAACTGTAAATCTTTTAAAAGAAAATATAATCTTTATTGCCTCAAGGGAGAGAAGTATTTCTTATATAAAATATGAAAAGAACAAAGTTTATTCAAAGAGAACAAGATTGAAAATGAGATTTCACTAAATTGAAAAGTGTCCATCAAAAAGCAGCATAAAAGCAAAATGACAAGTTACAGAATAAGGGGAAAATGTAGTGAAGATGTTTTACTAGCAAAATATTAATATCAATAATATAAATACAAGAACTAAAAATGAATATGCGTATCTGATTCTAAAATCCATTTGTTTCTACGCCATTTTATCATGCTTTTCTGTCCTTAGTTGAAAATAAAAATTTATAAGAGAGGAGAAAAAGAGAACTGGCACTGCAGCCTGTTAGAGTGTTTATAAAGATGACCTCCAGGATTTATCTGATCTCTGTAAGCACAGACCCTCCTATCTCCTTCCCCATCCCCCTATGCTAGGCTCACCTTGTGACTTGCTTTCACCAAGAGAACGTGACAGATATGATATTGTATGGATTCTGAACCAATGTCTCCAAAGACTTTGAAGCTCCTAAACTCACTCACTTATAGACCTGGTCCAAAAATATTAAGAAGCTCCAAATGGTCTTCTTGAGTAGGAGAGAAGTCCGGGAGAGAGAGGGACTGGCCATACTGTCACCAAAAGTTAATGAGGTCGTCTTGAACCATTAAGCCCCAGTCAAGGTACCACACGTGACAGGCTATAGAAAGTCACACAGCTGAACCTGGTCCAAATTGTTTATCCACAGTGAACAAATAAAATGGTTGTTTGCAGACAGTTTGCTACAAAGCAACAAATAATCGGAATTTACTAATCAAAGCAGCCAAAGAAGCCAGAGTTGACTGTGGTGTATGCCAAGAAAGTGGAGGAGAGACATGAACATGATAAGAAAAAGGGTCTTCAGGCAGGACTAGTTATGCTCTTGCTCCCACTCTTTGGAGCCAACTTTGAAATCCCCATCCGCCCCAGCTTCACAGATTTGTGCATCAAGTTTTGAGTTTTCTTCTGGAAACTCCACACAAACACATTTCAATTTGCAACTTCCTTCTCTAGCTTCCCCATTCTATATTAAGGGACATGGAAGGAATTACTTCCTTTGTCACAGATACTCCTTTCCTATTTACCTACCAAAAACACACTGTGACAATGATCATCAGAAAGAGAAAGAAGTCCAAAAGAAGGCTGGGAAGTGGATGAAGAAGCATCAAGAGCAAAGAAACTGCTTGTTCTAACTTATAGCTGCCTCTCCAACAAGTTTTCAGAGGCTGTAAATCTCATGTGAGAAGACGGCTCATCTTGCTCCTGTGGTGCAACTGGCGGATTTGAACCACTTGCCTTCAGGTTGG